TATAAATATGTTGTAGTGATCTCCCACTAAAGAGTCTATGTTGGATTCTTCCGCCTACTATGAGAGTAGAATGAGAGAAGGCCTTGGGGGAGCAGTGTCAAACTGTTCAACTGTTGAATTCTTCTGTCTAGAGCAGAGAGGAACCCGGACGAGAATTTGCCGAATGGCAAAGTTTCGTCCGGGGAGGTAGACAGACCTTGAACCCGTTTATACGGGTTTTAAGGGAATATTTTTGGCCGAGCCTACGGGCTCGGAGAACCCACGGTAAACTCGGTCTTGTGTCACATACATCCTTCGTGGGGGCCGTTAAAAATTAACAGTCGCATAGATTGTTCAACTGTCGAACTCTCTACCTTTAGCTGAGAGGAACTCGGACGAGCCTTTGCCGAAGGGCAAATGTTTGTCCGTGGAGGTAGACAGGCCCTGAACCCGCTTATGCAGGTTCTATAGGAATAATTTTGGCCGAGTCTACGGGCTCGGAGAACACACGGTAAACTCGGCCTTGTGCCACATGCATCCCACGTGGGGGGTGCTGTTAAATATTAACAGTCGCATAGATTGTTCCTTACTGTCGAACTCTCTGCCTTGAGCAGAGAGGGACCCGGACGAAGCTTTGCCGAAGGGCAAAGTTTCGTCTTGGATGGTAGACAGGTCCTAAACCCGTTTATGCGGGTTCTAAGGGAATATTTTTGGCCGAGCCTCCGGGCTCGGTGAACCCACAGTAAACTCGTGGTGTGTGTGTGTGGGGGGGGGGGGGGTTAAATATAAAAGTCGAATAGATTGAACCCTGGGTCAACTGACACACACACACTAGTCGTGTAATACTTTTCTGTTGTAGTTACTGTTTAATATATGATATATCTACAACATTTGTTTTGTTATTTCTTTAACCATTTACATGGTCACAAAATGAATTGAGCTTCATCAATCAATCAGCTTAATGAGTCCCATAACAAAGCTGATGATTCGAATCCCGATTAATAAAGCACGAAATAGAAATAGGACAAGAACAGTGCGGCTTTGTCAAGGACACCAGAACAAAAAATGTGATATTTATGATGAGAAGGATATCGGAGAGAGCAATACAAATGCAAAAGGATGTACACTTGCGTTTTATAGATTACGCAAAAGCATTTAAGGTACGGCGCAAGTATCTGTTTGAACTGTTAAGAAAACTAGATCTATTCGGAAAGGCTAGAATAATCCAGAACTTATACTAGGAACAAACCGCTTGAATACGGATAAAAAAACAAAAAAACAAATTGAAGTTGGTACAAAAAATAGAAAGGAACGTAAGACAATCATGTGGCTTTTATCCAAATTTTTTCACTTTCTATAGCGAGGCTATCCTACGGGATCTGGGGACTCTATCAGGACTTATTATCGGACACATTCTTAACAATATTAGTTACGCAGATGACTCTGTGTTTATGTCAGACACAGAAAGAAAACTATAGGACCTCCTATAGAGAAGGTAGTAAAGGAAAATGAAAAGGATTAACCATTAAAAATTAAACTGTAAAAAAACAGAACATATGGTTGTCAGCAAAAGAAAAATCCTAAAATGCCAACTATGAATTGGATATGTTAACATCAAACAAATACAGAAGTTTAAATATCTAAGTTGAATTAGCGGAAGAGGCACTCGAAAAGCTAAACAAATTACTAAGAATCAAAAATTTTGTTACAAAGAAAAAAGTGCTAAATTGCTATGTAATATCAATCCTCTTGTACGACAGTGAATGCTGGACAATCTCACAAAAGATGAAGAAAATGTGGATGTACAAAACATACTGAGAATTCCATGGACGAAGCAAATAAGCAACAGGGAAACTTACTGAAAAAAGAACACTTATATTCAAAATCAGATATTTATATTTATATCTTAAAGAAAGTTTTATTGCGTGAAGACTAATATGGTAATATCATAAAACAAGATATCGCTCGGAAACTATACAGCTACAATTTTCAATCTTTTCTTTCATTATTCTTTGCAGGGGCCCTTCAGGACGTAGAAGGTCTCCACATCGAATCATTCAAAGCCCTAAATAATGTTTGTCTTTTTGCTATTCCCCCAATTCTGATCTGTCATAGATAAAGTATGCTTCCTTCTGTTCCTCTTTCCTTCAAATTTTTCAAGCCTTCTTTCGTCGCGAAATTTCAAGTGTCTTTTCTCTTATTCTAAATATAGGTGATATTTTTATACTATTTTCCTTAAAACTTTCACGATGATAGCGTTATTTTAATTACTCTATTTAAAATAATAATAATAATAATAATAATAATAATCCTGGATTTGGACTTCGAGTAGATATGACGTGTTTTTCGAGGCTCCGTAGAAACATGAAGTGTATAACGGATTTAATGCACATATTTCAGCGTAATTATTTTCCTGATGAATTTGAACGTCATTTACTTATTTTTTAATGAATTTTATGCAATTATTTATTTGCTTTTCGATATTAATTTAATTTTTGTCGTAATTTTGTGTTTATTTTATTTTATTTCATTTTCAGAAAAATATACTTCCACGTAAATAAAATTCAACGTAAATATCCAACTGATTTTAATTTAATCTATGTAATTATAGATCATAATTTATTTAAATACTTACTTTAAAAAAAAAAAAAACCTATAATAAAAGCCATTATATTTCTTAAAAATGTATTTGATATATATATATATATATATATATATATATATATATATTAATTTGCTCATTACAGCAAATTATATTTTAAATTAATCATATTTTAATTTTAAAGACGTTATTAAGTTATTATACCACTCAAAATTTAATTTAGAGAAATGCTTAAATCTACTAAAAAAACACCTAACAAAAGCAAAAATTAAATTACCTCTACCTAAACTTAAAATCATAAAAATATGCCAGCTAATCACCAAGCAATGTTTCTTTACATTTCATAACAAATTTTACAGACAAATATTTGGTTTACAAATGGGATCTCCTCTCAGCGGCGTTCTTGCTTGTCTATTTTTAAAATTTCTAGAGAGTGACCCATTCAAAAACATTCTCCCTACAAACTCTTCCTATTTCAGATACATAGACGACTCATTATGCACTTGTATATATATATATATATATATATATATATATATATATATATATATATATATATATATATATATTAAAAAGAGAGGTGCCGCAAACGTTTTTGGTTGTAATGTGGATTTTTTTTTTTTTTAAATATTATGCTTATGGAAAATAAAGCATATTTTTTTTTAAATCCACATTACAACCAAAAAACATTTGCGGTACCTCTCTTCTTTTAATATATACACACTTTTCTCTCGTTGGAACCACTATAACTTCTTTTATATATATTTATATATATATATATATATATATATATATATATATATATATATATATATATGTACATTGATTAGTATAAAAACGCAAATTAAATTTTTGATTAATAACATTTTAATTTTAGAAACTAAAATGTAACTAAGTTTTGTTGATATACCAAATATGTAATCGATACCTATTAGTTTTATTTCTTTTTGACACAAATCGTCATTTTTTATTTATTTTTTTATTTTTTTTCCTGATTCGGGCAGAGCATTGGACAGTTATTAAACTCTTAGTACTGACAAGACTAGCCATGACCCGTTGGGCCACTGAAGCGTTAGCTTATAAAACATTGAAATTGATTTCAACATTGAAAGTATAAAAAGGGAAAAGAAAATTATTTGTTTGAAGGAAGTTGAAATACAAGTAATTGTTTTTTTTTAATCAGATTAACTTAAAAGTATTTTAATATGCCAAGAAATATTTTTAAATCATATTCACTTGAAAATGATTTTTAAATATGCCAAAATATTTTTTTTAATATTTAAAATATTGTTAGTTTTGAAAGCTGAAATCAAGCAATCACAGAGAGATGGAAATTCTACACTTCTGTGCAAACACCATCTAAAAGTGGGTCACTACGAGATTTTGTTAAAATCTTTGCAAAATCATACCGATCTTCAACGGAGCGTAGCATATACGAACAATTTTATTGAGCTAATAAATTCAATTAACTACCATGGCCGAATCAAGTGAACCACACATCGAGACAGCACTCGCCATTAATCTACCCTCATATAACTAAATAAATGTGCAAATGTAGTTTGCACAATTAAATGCCATCTTTAACGCAAAGAAAATTTCGTCACAAACTTCTCGTTACGCGTACGTAATTGAGAAGTTGCCAGCGGACGTGGCTATGGAAGTGTCTGACCTTTTAGAGATGATATACCAGCAGAATAACGATACGATGTACTAACAGAATCTATAATACACAGGATCCGAGGAGTGGCGTTTACATGATCTATTTAATAACCTGCGTTTAGGACAGAACAAACCCTCACAACTACTTCGAAAAATGAGAACATTACTCTTACGCAATCTTTGGATGGATAAACTCCACACACACAACCCAAATCTTAGCTTCGTTTCCAGATGATCCAGATTACAAAGGTTGGCAGAAATCGCGGATAAAATCTACGATACCAAACCCACAAGTGCAGTTTTTACTGCTGTTCGGACACCGTCCGTTACATCAATAAATGATTAACACGAACTACATCGAATAAAAGAAAACCTGGTTGATCTCACTTTACAATTGAAAACTTGCAAAGCACAATTCGACAGCAAGTCATCAGCTCTAATGAATAAGCCAGACGTTCACCACGGCACGATAGACGCAGATCGTCTGCAGCGCGTAGGAATAGACTAAAATTTGATACACGCTGGTATCATTATAAATTTGGCCAGCAGGTTCAACAGTGCAACAAACCTTGTAATTATGGAGCAAACTTAACTGGCGAAAATTCAAATCAACAGGTGAGAAACGACCTTTCCGGTAGCATATAAGGACGATATTTGCTGCCGGAGAGAAGTCACTTAGTCGTCTGTTTTACGTTAAAGATGAAAACTCCGGACATCTATTTCTGGCGCATAAATTAGTGTCATACCACCAAAACCCAACATGGCAACAAAAAAAGACCTCTTATACTCAGCAAGCGGATCCCACATTGAAACCTTTGGTGAGACTTCACTAACACTAGATCATGATCTCAGAAGGTCATTTCCGTGGATTTTTACTATCGCACAGGTCAAGACGCTTATTCTCGTTGCGGATTTCCTATCCCATTTTGGCTTAATTGTTAACATGTCTTCCCGATCTCTGGTGAACCAAACGACAGAGTTCACCATGAAGTATACAACTACTAGGATCAGTGCAGCGTTGCCCGCTGCTAACGGGTTACAGGAATCACTCAAAAAGTACCCGGAGATCATTACTCCTTTCAAATGCATGGACCCTGTTCGGCATAATGCAGAGCATAAAATCCTTCACCTCCACGTCGCTTACGTCCACATAAGTACAAGCTTTCAAAGCCTGATTCCAGCATATGCTGGACCTAGGTATAATACGACCGTCTTCAAGCCCTTACGCATCTCCATTACACATGGTCCCTCAACCTGAGGCGTGGGTATGGAGACCCTGCGGAGATTTCCGGAAACTCAACGCACAAACGATTCGGAAACGGATAAATACCCTATCCCGAATTTGTATGACTTTGCGATAGGTCTGCAAGGAGTCACGGTATTTACTCAACTAGATTTTTTAAAAAAAGGCTTTTCATCAAATAACGGTCGCGGATGAAGTCATACATAAAATCACAATTACAACACCGTTTGGCATGTATGAATTCGCTCGGATGCCTTTCAGCTTACGAAACGCCACACAATCATTCCAGCGATTGATCGATGGCGTGCTACGAGTTTTTCCATTTACTTTCGCATAAACAGACGTTGTTTTAATTGCCAACAGTAAAAAAAGGATACCTCACTATGTTTTGAGCAACGTCCCGTACCATTCAACACTACTTATTTGTATTGTGATGTCAGTACAGTTCACCCCAGACCTTATGTTCCTCCTTCTAAGCGTAAAATGATCTTCGGTCATTTCCACTGTTTCTCATATCCCGGGCGTAAAACGACAGCAAAACTGATCGGCAAGAGGTTTATTTGGCCTAATATGTCTGGTGATGTCAAATATTGGACACAGTCCTGTATTAAGTGCCAGAAAAATAAGATCCAGCGCTACACTAAGTTTCCCTTGAACATTTTGCTGCACCTGGTGGCCGATTCACGCACATTCATGTAGATTTGGTCGGTCCATTGCAAGAGGTTGAAGGTTATCAGTATTTACTGAATATTATTGATCGCTTTACGCGGTGACCGGTAGTGGTTTCACTGAAAACAACATCATCAAAGGTTGTTTCTCGGGCAATTCTCCGAGACTGGATATCTATTTTCAGATGCCCGTCTATCATTACTACTGATCGTGGTCCTCAATTTCAATCCGTCCTCTTCTCGGAGTTCATAAATTTACTGGATGCTAAGCACATTTTAACAACGGCCTATCAATCGTGTGATAACAGCCTTGTCGAAAGGTTTCATATGCAGTTGAAGACGGTACTCACAACCAGCAACGATTCATGGAATTGGATAGAGAATTTGCCACTATTCCTGCTATAAATTTGAAATGTGATTAAAGAGGATTTACAATGCACTGCCTCTAAACTAGTGTTCTGGAGTTCGTTTACACTTCCAGGTCTGTTCGTCGAGAAGGACATTTCAACAAAGCCCAGTACTTATTTAGTACAGGACCTAAAGCAACGTATGTCAGATCTTTTCTTCACTCTAACACGTACACAAACGAAAGATATTTTTGTACTAAAAACTTTGGAGGATTGCGAGTATATATTCGTACGTAATGACACACTAAAGAAACCGTTAACGCCTACATATTCCGGTCCATACAAAGTTATTTCCTGTACTGCGAAATATTTCTCTGTTTTCGTTAATAACAAATATACTACTGTTACTACTGACAGGTAGAAACCAGTGTTAATTGACGTCACTAATCAATCATCTTTCACTGCTAACCAGCCTTCTTCTACCCAGGCGACACTTCCTCAGCCTAATTTATACTCTGAACATCTTAAGACTAGGTCTGGTAGTCATGTCTACTGGCCTGTCAGATTAAAAACATATTACACATATTGTAACTTTTACAATCTGCGGTGGGGGTTGTAGAATTGTAATTCTACGCTGTTGTGCAAACACCATCTAAAAGTGGATCACTACGAGATTTTGTTAAAATCTCTGCAAAAGCCATCTAAAAGTGGATCACAGTGATATTCATATACAAAACCAGCTCAACACATATTTTCCAAACATTCGCTTGCTGATTGGTTCATAAACAAGCAAGTGGGCGTCACCATCCACCCACGCACATCTATTTTTCATCTCGTGATCGAGTTAAATATTTTGACGCTAATTTTCTGGAGCCTATCACGTGTTCACCCAAGTACATAAATTCAGCACGCAAACTCATCTCGCTAGTGAGCATCGTGATCACAAACCAGTTGCTAAACCAATTCACGTCACTTTGTCATCTGAAGTTTTTAAAGTTACCTTTTAACATAATCCAAACCTTCCGACACCAACTCACTCATCTTCATATTCAACTTTTCACCACAACAATTTCAACATGCAATCTTTCACTTAAATTCACAAACTACATTCCAAAAAGAGATTATACAAAGATTTAAACAAACACCACACAGATTTCATTTACAAATCTGAATTACTTATTGAATAAATCATTGTATTTTTTATGCTATATAAATGAAAATTTGTTTGTTGTTATATAATTTTGTTTTGTGTTATTTTCTCATTTTGTTCATTGCACTGTAATTCGTTGAAGAAGTAATTAAATGTGTTGAGGATTTACGATAATTTGAGCACGCAACTGAACTCACTCTACAAATCTAATCCCGACAGATGATAACCCATCGTTGCATTGAATAATAATCGTTTACATTTCCACCTCTCTCTCTCTCTCTATCTCTCTCTCTCTCTCTCTCTCTCTCTCTCTCTCTCTCTCTTTCCATCAATCTGTGATAGAAAGAGAGAGGTAGATGGAAAGAGAGAGGTGGAGAGAAACTTAAATCATTATGCGTCCGACGGCCGACGTACGCACGATTCACAGACTTTTAGTATTAGATAGATAAATAAATTATTAATAAATCGCATCGGTCGTCACACGGGTCAACAAGGACCGCGATCTCCAGTGAGGAACCAGGCTGGGATCGAAAAGTCTGCAGCTGGAACAAACACTACCCAACGAGAATTAGAAAAGGAAAACCACGCAGAAGACAGTTTTCACAGAGACCTTCTGTTTTTATTAAAAGAAAATCCCACAAAAAATATAAATAAATGGTCTATGGAAGAGAATATTGAAGTAATGATAGCCTTTTACACAGCTACGATAAATCTGACAACGACAACAACGACCAAAGCCGTTTATAATATCTGGCGAGAAAAACACCTCTTAAACAGACTAAGCTTTGATGCCAACATCAGGAACAAAAGAATACCTGATATAGAACTCGAAAGCATCCGAGAAAACATCAAAAATAGATTAAACGTTAACATCTAGAGGCTAAATGCCAACAACCCAGAGGAGACACTTACAGAGAAACAAATAGAAACTAGTTGTAATTGTGACACTATTTAGCGTTTGGCTTACTAATTAAGCGTGGAAGTTAAAAACGAGAAATACTTACGGCGAGAAGAAGCTATCACGAAAGACATACTGAGCGATGTTATTTTTTTAACAAAAGAAAAGTGGTAAAGATTTTATTTTCATTTGCGAAGAAAAGTATTTTTTTTGCAGAAGATAGGAAATTCGTAAGATCTTGGATCTGTCAGAATTAATTTATGCTATGACGCGGCGAATAAAAGATAGCAATCTGCCCATGGCAATAATGAAAATTTCAAATTGGTCAAGTGGCTTACAAAGCGAAATGCTAGAAGATAATCAGAATTAGATCGAGCATCGACCGAGAAAGTGATCAGCTGAAACCACCCCAAAGAAAAGGGGAGGAGGAAGAGAAAAAGGAAAAGAATAAACCATTAACTATCTTTCTGAGATATCATTTGGTTTTGGAAAGGGACCACTTGTTTTATGTCCAGACCTTGCCATGATAAAAGTTTGTTACCTGGACAGATTGTTGGCGACAGAAGTACTAAGGCGTTGAGGATACAAAGAGATTCACTTGACCACCCCGATGATTACTTGACGAAAATCTCGTTGATGAATTCCAGATAACATTCAGTTAAGATAGAGACTTAATGACCACACTACGAGTCGTGGGGGTTCTAGTCGGGGAAAAGAAAGAAAAGAAAAAGGAAGATAATTTTTTTCTTTGAGCGACAATTGTAAACTGAGGCCAGTCTAGCCACACCCACGCTGCCGAGCGTTCATTGGCTGAATGGTGGCGTGAGTGATGGGCGAAGGTAAACATATGAGAAAGAAGGGAAACCTGTTGACGCCTCTGAAGGGATTGGTGTGAGATACCACTATGAGAAAGAAAGGAAACCTGTTGACGCCCTCCGAGGGGATTGGTGTGAGATACCAATATGAGAAAGGAAGAATTTGGGAAGACAATTCCCTTAAGAACCCCTCTAAAACAGAAAGTAATGGACTTCCAAAAATGGAAAGTGATAAATTTTCCTGTCCGAAAACAAAGAAAATCTTTATTGCGGATTTGGAATTATCGAGGAACCCAAACCACGACAGGCCCCCACCCGGTTTTGGTCGGCGTCCATATAAACGAACGTCCACAGAGCAGAGTTAGTTACAGGGCAGTTGGGCAGACGCAGACAGAGTGACAGAGCAGGCAGAGTTGAGCTGTGAGCTCGCAGACCAGCCTCGCGGGAGCGGACTGAAAGATATCCACGCATTCCGACTTAGACTTCTAACCAAAAAAAATTATTTTTGAAGAACGACTTAGACTCACCCACCAAAACAAGTTTTACGAATATCGCCTAAAGATACCAAAAACCAGTTTATTGAAAAACACCTTAAGATATTAAGACTCGCCTAACAAACGCAAAGTGTCACGTATCCATAGAAGCGGTTTGGGAGAAAGACGCAGTCCTGTAATCAGAAACCAGATATAAAGCTACTTGTTATTCTCTTTTTAACACATTTGAGTCTTTCGAGTTGTTACTTTATTTTCTTTTACATATACTTGTGCGGTGTCGCCTTTGCTCGAATTCGGTTTGCACTACGGCCCGACGACTGATTGATTTCGTCTACCTAAGATCAAATCACAACGTGGGTAGGTTAGACTAGAAATCAAAGCAGTTACTTCGGTAACCAGACGTTGGAGGCGAGCTGGGTACGACAAAGCTGATGCCGAATCTAACCAGATTTCCATCCGAATCAGCCAGGGGTTAGATCGCCACAGGATAGCACGGGAGAGGCTCTGAGTTGCACAAGCAAATAGAGGAAGATAATGACAAATATGGGAGAGAAATAGAGATGACTAAATATCCGATATAAATGGGAGAATGTAAAGGAAATGTCTTTCGAGGAATGGCCGACAATTCCAAAAGTAAGAAAGATCCGTCAAGTGAAGGAAACCATCAGCCTTGCTAGCAGGCAATTAGTAAAATAAAAAACGAAATGGGCAGTCTTGGCAACGATTGCAGAAACAGTAGGTGAAAAAGTAAAAACATAAACGAAAAAGAAAAATACCAGTCTGGAAAGAAATAATAGAAACCGAACAAATAAAATATGAGGACAATTGTCATTTCTACTGTTTAGTAATTGTGCTGCGTGAACCTACTGGAGTATCGCAGCTTGACCATCATGAAGACCTCGATCACCCAGGCATTGTAACACTTACTGATGAACAGAGATTGATCGCAAATGCTGGGCTTGAGTCTGTAGATAAGAAGAAGAGAGGTGAAGTGCCCAATCACCCCTGTTTCTATGTAGATGCACAAGGAGGTTGGGGTAAAACTTATATGTTTAATACCATGTGCAACGTGTGCAGTGATGCTGGGACAGACATTTCTTCTACATTACTGTCAGGTGGAAAGACTATTCATAGTTTGTTCAAATTGCCTATCCCACTCACGGATGCCAGCATTGTAATGTACCAGCCACTTCAGAGCATGTAAATTATTTACGCAACCTGATATTCATTATCTTGGATGAGACTTCTATGATCCCTTCATTTGCTCTTCATGCTATTGAAAATGTCTTGGGAGATCTCACTGGCATTGTTGCTATTTTTGGTGGTAAAGTTGTGCTCTTGGAGGCAAACTTTAGGCATATTGCCAAGAACTCGTGAGGCAATCATTGAAAGCTGTATTAAAAATTCTTCACTATGGATGATTTTCCTGCAATACAGATTAAGCCAAAACATCAGGACAAAAGCAGATCAAAGGGAGTTTGTAGCATGGCTCTTGCATCTTCACAATGGAACATCAGCAGCTTCACAAGATCCTAATCTTGCTGTTGATGACATAGAAAGAAATACCTCAAATTTCATGCGTTGACGACTCTCTGGTGAATAATATCTTCAACAATACATCTGAGGAAGATAGAAGGAGTAGAGTAATTATTTTTCCAAAGAACACAGACTACCTTCTGAAGAAGTTTCGAGACAACTTCTAGATGACTGCTGAACCTATTATAGTACAGATAAAGTTTTGACATGATCCTACTGAGGCCGACTGCTATACCCACTTGAATTCCGAAACCCTTTGACACCATCAGGAATGTCTTCTCATAAATTGAGTTTAAAACCCGGTCAATAGTAATGCTTCTTCGTAACATTTCTATCCAGAATGGACTCTGAAATGGTACAAGTCTGGAAGTGTTGGCCATGCATAAACATTCAATTGAGGCTTCATTGATTATCGGCTCACTCATTGGCAGACTAATCCCCAGAATAAAGCTGGCTCCAAGCGACTCTAACTTGCCATTCACCTTGGAGAGAACCCAGATTCCTGTCCGTTTGTCATATGCCATGACTATTAAAAAGTCACAGGGGAAGACATTTGAGAAGATGGGAGTGTTCTTACCTCAGCCAGTGTTTAGTCACGAGCAATTGTATGTGGCATACTCTAGAGCTCACAAACTCTCAGATGTAAAGGTTAAGGTGATGAAGACAGACAGACAAGGAAGGAGAAGAGGGCGAACTGTTACTAAGAACATTGTCTGCCGGGAGGAACTGACTTGAAGGTATGGAGTGTTTTCAGAAATTCTGGAGACCCTTCATTACATTAGGTATATGCATTTGGTTTATATGTATACATAGATATATATATATATATATATATATATATATATATATATATATATATATATATTAAATGAATATATTTCAAAAGGGGAAACTATTTATATGTGGCATGTATTATATAGTTTTGTACATATATATGTCTATTGTTTTCTGTATTCATACCGGGGGAAACTGGCATTGCTCTATGTTGGGAGGGGGAGTACCACGAACTGACTGTCATTGGCAATCTTTTCACACATGGTAGACACTCCCAGGTATCTCTGTGTTGTTTATTTTCCCAGCCTGTGAGTATTGTATGTTAAAAAAGGATAGATTTAATAGCTAAACTTTATGTATTTTTAAATATACCTGTGCAAATATACGCTATTTTACTATTTGCTGCCTAAGTATCGTATTCTATTATATATCTAGAGATTATAATTGTTCCTTCTTCAATGCGTGATTTTTATACATACATATATGTAGAAAAATTTTATTGTTTACTCAACATTCTATTATTCGGTCCGTGGAAATTCAACGGGTCCCGTTAGTAATAATAATAATAATAATAATAATAATACAGAAGCGATGGCAAGATAAACCGCTTCATGGTCAATACCCTGCCCGTACCAAACAAGCTGACGTAGACAAAACCCGTACCCATCAGTGGCTACGTAGTGGAGAGTTGAAAGCGGAAACTGAAGGTTTTATCCTTGACCAATGCTTGCTAACTAGGAATTATCAAGCACATATACTAAAATATTGTGTCAGCCCAAAATGCAGATTCTGTGATAAATATCCAGAAACGATTGAACATCTTGTATCAGGTTGCACCATATTGGCACCCACTGAATATAAAACCCGGCATGACAGAGTGGGCCAATACCTGCACTGGAGAATCTGCAACTTCTACGGGAAGAAAACTGAAAGAAACTGGTATGAAAACTACCCAGACCCGGTTACGGAGATAGGACCTGTTACAATTCTATGGGACTACACAATACACACTGACAGAACAATCAAAGCCAACCGCCCAGATATTGTTATTAAAGACCACAAACAAAAACGGTGCCTCCTTGTTGATATGGCAGTCCCTGCTGACTGCAATGTATCGTTGAAGATATTCAAAAATCTGTCAAAATACAAGGACCTTGAAATAGAAATCTCGAAAATGTGGTATATGGGAACATCAACAATCCCTGTTGTAGTTGGAGCCCTAGGACTGGTTGGAAAAGATTGCAGTAGACTAATTGAAGGGATTCCTGGAAGTCCATGCCTCAAGGAGATACAAAAAATTGTTCTGACAAGTACAGCCCACACTTTACGAAGGGCTTTATCTATGTAATATTTTTTTTTGTCAGTGGAAAGTGTAATGATGCCATTTCTAGCCTTAGGTCCCTGGGCGGGACCCGGAAAAAATGTGTAAACGCCAGAAATCAAAGAAAATAAAAATAATAATAATAATAATAATAGTTTCTTGAAGAAATATACAAATTTTGAAATTATGAATAACCTAAAAATGAAATACAGATTTCATTTTTAAATCTTTTTATAAAATTTTCAAGCTGAACGGCATGTGTTTCATTTTTTATAGAGGAAAAATATTATCAGCGCATACAGAAATTCAAACAGACGATTGCATATAAATTTCAGCGACATTAAATATAACCACAGAATCTAACATGAAAAACACCTATTAATTTTAATCATAACGAAGAACAAAAATACATGTTTATGAATAAAAAAAATAACATTTTATAATGTCTTACCTTTTCCAATTTATCATTAGCTGCTATCATGTTATGTGAAAGCCAATGGTGATATGCTGATTCAAAAACGGATCTATCATTGTCAGTTTAATGTTGAATAGCTATTGTTTCTGGAAAATGTTTTGTGAAATGCCACTTTTTCTGCATTTTACGTGCAGAAGCAGCAATCAATCCTCTCATTTTCCCGCCTTCTTTACGCCTTGTTCTAATTTCGTTTTCCGCTTTTCTTACACAATGACGCCACCTTCAGGGCCCATTTTTCTATTTATGAAATGAAATTCCATATTGTTTTCACATTCCTAAGTTAATGTAATTCTCATTTATTTTAGAATCGTTTTCATTTTCTTTCGTTTATTTGTGTTTATTTATTAGAAAAATAAAATTTCTATATTCCAAACCTTACTTGAATCAAACTATTATTGTACTACAAATAAAGTTCTGTGTTATTGAATTCGCTATCAGATTTCACATCTTTCGATTCAATTACAACCAACATTTTCTGTTACACGACCTTTTCTTTTTATTTCTCCTTTATTAATCTATTTCATTAAGCTTTTATTTATTTCTTTATTCAACTTTTGACCGTATTCAATATATTCCCTTTTTCTTTATTGCTAACACTTTCATTTTCTTTTTATACTCTTCTTCTTTACACCGATTTATTAGTGTTCTTTCCTTTCTCATTTCTTTTATCTTTTTTACCTCTCTCTCTCTCTGTCTCTCTGTCTCTCTCTCTCTCTCTCTGTCTCTCTCTCTCTGTCTCTCTCTCTCTGTCTCTCTGTCTCTCTCTCTCTCTCTCTCTCTCGCTCTCTCTCTCAACAGAGAGTTGAACTTTGATGAAGCTGCTGAAAATTTCTGTATTTCCATTATTTCAGAAATATGTTTAGTTGCCATGTTTCCTCACCTCTTTTTTCTCTCAAAACCTTGAGATTTTTAATGAAATATTTTCAGGCAAAATATCAATGCATTGGTTGTGATCAGCCTAATAATTCAAGTCATCGTCATATCAGTCAAGTAAAAGTTTATATCGAGGCTTAGAGGAAAGATTTTACATACTTATTTTTTTTCACATCGCCTCTATTCCTGTATAAACAGACCCAGTGACATTACAATTGCGTTGAGACTTTATCTGTAAAACATAATTTAAGAAAATGATGTGAGCGCCTTTTTATATAATCTTTTACGATTAGATCAGAAATTATCTAATATGACTAAACAAGCAATAGTGGATTGATCAAAAGCTTATGAATTAAAATTCTAAACGGTTTAATCCTACTTATTTTTATTTAGGTCTTCAAAATACAATTGAACAAATTAATTTAATACAACATCATTTGATACATTCCAAAAGTATAAACTTAATGATGATGTTGATAAATCATATATCAATGGCAAATACTTGTATGCTTATATTGTTTTACGAGTCTTTCATCAATGTGAGGCTTATAGATATTTTGTTTTTCAATCATTATAATTTTTTCAACGAGTATTTCTTTCCGATTAGTTTCACTTACATGTTATCGAAACTATCAGACTGTCATTCTACGTTCGTCAGTAACAATAAGATGGATAAGCCACCAGCAAAACGAATCCACATCTATTTTCCTCGGGAATCCTAACGCAACAATTATCTGACTGATTAAGCTACGGAGAACTTCTTGCTGCATTCATTCACATTTAACCTCATTTTCTCAGCGCGCGCGCACACACACGCGCACACACACACACATCAGCACCTTTCTCTTCACTTTCCATTACTTTTCTCTAGGACTTCTACGCAAACATCTTCACTAGTTTAAATGTTTTCTTCTTTCATATTAATTGCTTTGTCATTGTTAATACATGCTTATCGTTTGTCTGTATATGTAGCTTTAGTGGTACTTTTCATTTTATTACCCGGACTCACATTCGAGTCCGCCATTTTTTGTGGGATAGATATACCAGGAAACGCGTGTTTTCCAGCTTAAACACACGCCAGCAAACACCCGCAACAATGGTCAGTGGTACCAACTTATGTTGCTCTAACCTCTGCTACGTTAGCGCAAGGTTAGGCGATTCCGACCAAGGTGACTCGAATTATTGGAGTTCGACCGTGACATGATAGTGATACCAGACGGATAAGACCTTCCATTTCTGAAATAGTGCGGACATTTTACATCCGTCGAACTAACTACCGGAATAACTGATAGAATACATTACTGCCACCTTAAGACAGTTCAGTGGCCAACCACGGGTCTTAAATGATTGTGACCAGAGGCGTTTGGGTAGAATTATTTATAACAGACAAACAACACTGGCTCTAACCAGATCAGATCCAATAAAGGAGGCACCTGACGCGTATCCAGCAGATCAGTTCAGCGTTCTTAAGCTTCCATGAGGTCTGAGAAGTTCCACCAGCGGTCTCTGTTAACATCACGACACCGGAGACAACACTTCACCTTGGCTTGTGACGTTACCAAATGAACCCTGAAAGATCCGCAACGTGTGGTGTGGCCCGATGAATCGCGATTCCGGTTGTTTTAGGTTGATTGTCGAGCTGGGGAGTGATTCCATAATGATGTGTTCATGTCACATCGGTTAGGTCCACTTAAGCACAATGATCCCTAATTTTGTAATGTGCTGTGACCATTTGCACCCTTTCAAGGACTCCAGGATAATGCACCGTGCCATCGGCCCCAAGTTGCCTAAAATTTGTTTTAAGAACATTCTAGAGACTTCCGATATGATGTGATCACCACGTTCGCCCTATATGAGCCCCACTTGATCATTTATGGAACCTGGTGGAGAGATCTAATAGCTCGCAATATTATCAGTTATCTAGATGGCATAGCTCAACATCTTTTCAGAGATCTTCTGACGATCTATGGAATCGACGCTACGTCGAGTTACTGTACTTTGCTTGTCTGGTATGGACTCTACATGAGACTAGCCGCCTAGCCCATGACGGTACACCAATGAGTATGACGATATCTTAGAGAGAGGTGGTAGCCAATCATACACCACTTTGTTTGTGTAGGATATGATTTTTGCCTCAGACATTGATATAACTATGTAAGCTAATCAATAAGTCCGTAGTTTAACAATAAAGGATTTTCCCAACATTTTTTTCAACATTTTCCATGCATATTCAGTGGTGAATATTATCAAGGTCAAAAATTATAGTTTGAAATTTTCATATACAAATTCAGCTAACTACATATCAGACTACTTAATTGATTCACTCTTCAAAGATTAAGGAATTATTAAAATTTTCTGAGGCATGTCGTACAGCGATCAATTGGCGTTCTTCTTATGGGTCGATGACTTACGAGATAACTTTGCATGTCTTTACTTTTAGTAGTCTATGAAAATATTTAATCTCTTCAAAAACATGAACTAAATTATTTTTGCTCCCAAGAAAGTTTACATTGGCAGTGGTTTTGAGTTTAAAAAAAATAAATAATTAAATAAAATAGTAATAATAATTTATATTATAAAAGAAGTGCCAATTCTCTATCAGTCACACTTTGCCTGCGTGTGATTTTGTATGTGCGTATATAATGTAAATGCCCATATATGGCAGCATAACTCAATTTTCGGCTTTACCTGGCTCTTGTAAAGGTAGAGAATAGCAGAAGTCAAGTATTTACTGGAGTGGTACAAGGAACCGAACATTTTCCCAGCATCTTTAGCGATATATATTAGTTCCACTTGAGGTCTGGCTTGAGTCTAAGACCCAGGACTATCTGAAGGAGCATCCGTTCATCGTGATCGGTGAAAATTCTGGATCCGCTCTCTGATGATGTCGCGTCACTAATTTCGTTTTCGGGGTATTGAATGAGATCAGCCAATTTTTTTCTCACTGAACTCTTAGAATTAGGTGAGAGGAGAGATCAGCTGCCAACCTCTGGTCATCTGGAGTTTTGAATGTGAACCCATATACCGTTGTATCATCAGCATAGATTTTGACAAATAATCGGAGTATAGTCTTCGATAGATTATTAGTGTAAAGTAGAAAGATGATTGAACCCAGAAGCGAACCTTGGTGTGTCGGGGGACACCTGGGTTGATCGTTTAGTCCTCAGGGGACTGGCCGTTAACAACTACCTCCAGGGACCTACGCGTTAGGAAGAACTTTATAACGGAAAAGACACTTCCAGTGATTCCATAGCTAGAGAGCTTGTTCAGTAACCTGTTATGACACACCATTTCAAAGGCCTTTGAAATATCTAATGCAACAATCTTTTTGTTGATTATAGCTTCAAAAATTTGCCAACGACACTGAAGAAGCTGATAGGTCTATACTGTAACGGAGATGAGTGCTCACCTACTTTCTTGAAACTGGAGCATACGCTTGACACCATCCACAGATTTGGGAAGGATTTCTTCTTGAAGCCGTGGTATAGAATAATTTCCCTAAGATCGGGGATAACTCCGGGTTAATGTTTTTAAGGACAACCAATGGGAATTTATCTGGATCAGTAGTGTGGCAGACTTCACCACATTAATTTAACTTAGATTAGGAAACCAAACTGAGGTGAAAAAAGGATAAGCCAAAGACATCATTACACATAAAATATGTATTTAACAAGATGTACAAACAGGGATGTGAAAGAAGGCATGCATTGAGTAAAACAAGAGTTGTCTCTCTTTAACTATTATTGGTATTCCAAAGTTCACTGAAAGAAAGCAAGTTTGTGATAGTTTCTGGCAATAAATGTTTTCAACAGTTTTGCTGTGTAAGGAAAATTTTATGTGAGTGTAAGAAATATTCAGCATGTGAGTGGTGTTGTGAGTGAGAAGATTGACGCATGGTTTCAATTGTCGTGGGTTCGTTTGGCAGCTGAAATCTCACTATCTAAGAATATTTCTTGCTTATATAGGTGATCATCGGCTCCGAATCGCTGCGCGGGAAGAAATGTTCTTCACGTGCAATCTGATTGGTTGGCATTGACCAATCAGCGAGCGAGTTTTGGGGAGACTCAAGAAATCTTCTGGGATTCGTTTCTCCCAAAAGTGCACAAAATCGACTACATGAAAATAGATCGATTTGTAAATTGTCTAGTACAAAGTAGTGTTGATTTATTATCCAATGAATGCTTGTCGTTGTATGATTTGTATTTGTGTAAGTATGTACATATGTGTGTGATGTAGATCGTCACAGTAGCCTTAAGATCAAGACTTTTGATAAGACTTGAAATTTCCCAAACACATTACTGAGATTGAGTGAGATGGGGGAATATCTGACGAGGATTAGATGACCTCGGGGCCATTTACAATAGTAGGCACTACTTGTCTCTATTCAGAAATTGGTTCGAGATCTTCCACAATTCCTGAGTTTCAAGTTGTTTGTTTTCGACCTTGGCCTGGACTGCTTGTGCATAGCTACACTTTCTAGAACTCTCTTGCAATGTTTGCTGGCAATCCTGAATGCCGCAAGTGTCCTACTATACCGTTCCCTGTGATATATATTGTAGGTTGGCTGTTCGTGTTTTTGTTGGAATTTTTTCTGGCTTATAAAGATCTCCATTCCAAAAATGATCCATTCTGAGATGAGGGTGCCAGTTTTGGAGGCAATGTGTTTGAATAAGTTTGAGAGTGGAGCTCCCGTCATTTAAGATCTGAAGCTGTCTCAGTCGGCTTTCGTATACCGAAAAATCGTTCTATGCAACGGCACATCAGGAGATGCTTTTGGTTTAGCATCAATCTTGACACTGATTAGTGAATGATCTGAAGTACCCAGGAGGGTGTAAAACTTATGCGAGGCATTTTTCAGAACGGGATGTAAGGAAGAGGTCACGGAGGTCCGTCTGATGTCCTGTTGTATCGGGAATACATGTGGGTTCTTCGATGATCTTAGTTCGTAGGCGATGGAGAAGTCTGTGCAGTATCTGTTTTGTTCGAGTGAACTAACCACTTTTTTTGGTGAATATTGAATTCACCACAAATATGAAAGCTAGCTGAGAGATATTCAGTGAAGATATTATCAATCTTCTCATATATTCAGTCAAACTTTACAAGCACATGCACACATAATTGACTAAGTTTGAAATAAGATATTGAAACAATCCATCCCCCTCTCACCGTATGAAGAACCCCTACACTGGATGAGTAAGTTAAAAACAAGAAAGGAAACGAATAAAAAGAAAAGATAAACTGATCAACAGCTTATTTTCCGTCAAACTGTGTCTTTGCTTACAATACATGTGTATATGGCTGCGAAACATATATATATATATAATTCTCTAACTACTGTTAGTCCGTCTGTCACACCCTCTAAAATAACCATATATTGACCGAACGAAACCAAATTTTGAGGAGAAATACAATTAGGTAAGGGATTACAGTTGTCTTTACTAGGGTGGGTAAAAACTGCGAAGTAGTCTTAGTTTTATAGCATTTTTACTTTACTATCCAGAGCAGATTTTTTGTAACTGGGGGTCCTGTTCAACAAAAAAAAAATTGATAAATTCTCCGAGGACTTTTCCTTATAATCAATATTAACATTAAGCGCTACAAGAAAGAATTTATCAAAATTTCATTAGTGGTGGGTACCAGATATAAAAATAAAATATTTTGTAAAAAATAAACGTTTCAAAAATAATGTAATTAATTTCCGAATAAGTCCAGAGTATTTTTTCATCATGAATGCTCATTTTAGTCACTAGCGTATTTTTTGGGGTGTACATATGTTTTAGATTGAAGAAAGAGAACAAAGAACCGTCTTAATTTCTACAATTCAATATTTTTTATATTAGCATGCATTTTTCTTCTAATTAAAAACAAGTTTCGTCTAGAATATTTTTCAGATGTTTCTTTTATTAACATAAAGCATTCCTTTTTTATGCCTGTTGCTCGACACCAGTTTCATTAATATTTTTATTTTAAAATTTTAATTTATTTTTTATTTTTTTACGTAGGGACCAGGAAACCTATGATGAATTATTATTAAATTTATTTGTTTAAAATTATTTATTTAAAACTAAATTTTGTAAATCAAGAAATGTCGAAATAATTACAACTGGTATTTGTTATGTTCAATACTGCATTGTTTACGTTTTCCATTAATAGTCCCAACACGAGAAAATTATTTACGTACGATTAAAAAATGAACCGACCATTGGAATTATTTTGTAGTTGGGACGTTGTCTTCTTGATCACCGGATAACATCACATGATGGCGAACATGAAGGAGGGTCTATATAGACAGCGGACCAAGTTTGTACAAAAATAAATCTTATTGTTTACCAAGAAGCTGAGAACGGTCAGATTATTGATATTTTTATTCCTTCGTTTTAGATTTTTAAGCTTATCCTTTTATTATCACAGACAATTTATTCAATAGCTGTTTATTATTATTATTTTATGAAATGCTCCACTTCCTAATGTTGTTTGCTTCGATTATTTTTTATTTTAAGGAACCACTTGAATTTGTTGTCTCGCCCTTAAGAATTACTGGTTTAATAATCATAATAATTTACAATACATGTAATTAAATTATGAGTATAAAGGAGCTAGGTCTCTCCAAAATATTTACAGGACCTTCACAATTTTAATTTGTTTAAAAATTCATATTGTAACTTTTTCAGAATATTTTTTCCTTTATTCATTCAACTTGATAATAATTTTTCTAAAATAAAAATTAATGTTTAAGTGGTCGTCAATTGATTGCTATGTTATTTTTGGCAATATAATTCTGACTATGTTAGGTGTAAAAAATAAAAAGGAAATGACATTTTTACTTTCATCGGTGGTGGTTTTTCAATACATGCTAAGCTAGTAAATGTTCGCAAACTATGTTTTTAATTCAAAACAATAAAAATAACTTGTCTTTGTCTCTAGAGGAAGAGTTATTTAAGAAGATTAAAATTTACAACATAAAGCTTATGACTCCTCACAAAAATTAACTACGCCCCATAATTATTACTTCTTGTCTTAAAAGTGGGTGGAGAGATTGTTACTGTTGTTTTGAATTTTATAAAAAAAAAATTATTTATTTTAAATACCGCTCGTCACTCACAATTCTTTTTTCTATACCAGACTACCTACACTGACTAGAAAATCTAAAACGTAAAGGAAATTTAGATTTGAAAGATAGTTTTACTTTTAAAATATTGTAAATAAAAAAAAAATCGTTCACAATGACATTATTAAGTTAGCTTTACTTACTTTTACTTTCTTAGAGTTCAGTAAATTATGCTTGGTAGGAAGACATATCTCTAATCAAGTGTCAGGGCTCAACTAGAATGAGATACAAATATTCTTCTTCATTCATCAGATGTTGTAGAAGTGCGAAATTAAAAAAATATATATTGCAGATTGTTTGTAAGACAATTCTGTTATTAAGTCATACGTATAAATTTTTTTTAAGAAAAAGAAAAATCTACAACAGCAAATTGATTTTAAAAACATTGTTCTCATCTGTCCCTTATTTTATCTAAGATAACTTATTAGCTTTTCACATTGCAATATATTCCTAATTGGTTACTTTTTACAAGCCAGTTCTCTTAAATGTTATTGCATTTTTAAGTCATCTTGATTTTTCTGTCTGTTCAGGTTTATTTATAAAAGCGCATATTGAATATTTTCAGTCTTGAAAGTCATAAACAAAGATAAAATTACTGAGTTTATTAATTGAGAATAGGAGAATTTTAAATAATCTATTTTTATTTTACTGTATAATACATGATTATCTTGTAAAACTTTTTTCTTGACAACTTTGTTTCAATTTTGTCAATATTTTCTTGTAAATTAAATTAATTCTTTTATTTATTTACTATTAAAAAGTCTATTAATTCTGTGAAAAATTTTAACTAAAATATATTTGCATTGTAAAAACTGGCAAAAATGGTGCAAAATATTTAAACTTTAGAGAATAAAAGGTTATTACAAGTCACCAAAAGATTTAACTATGGTGAGTAAAACCTGTAATTTTTTTTTTAAGAACGTTTGTAAAGTTGGATATGTAGTTTAAAAATTAATCAGTCTGTATATGCGTGAATATATAATTATTAAAGGAATGCTTTATGTTGTTAGAAAAGACATCTGAAAAATTAACTGTCAGTTTTCAATTGATACAGCAAAATTTTGTTAATATATTAATTACCTTTTGTAAAACTAGAAAAACAAACAAAATATTAAGATAATTTGTAAGTAAAACAATTACAAAATAGTATTGAAATATTAGTAGTGTTTAGGAAGAAAAAATTTTTTAAAAATCTATATAATCTTTCTTAATGATTTGGTAAAATGAACAAATTAGATTGAAATTATTGCAGAACAGATTCTCTTCAGTTGTTAGTTAACAAAATCTATTTTTATTGAAATTATTATTAATATCCATACTGAGTGGATACCAATTTAAAATAAATTTTAATTATAATTTACAGGGAAAGGTAAAATTTACACATTTAATTTAAATGATTTAAAACATCAAATTATTAATCTGCAAAGTTTCAGCTTTTAAGCATGTATAGTTATTAATTTCTTTAAAATGTTACCCTTCAAGTAAATGTTCAAATTGATCCAAGTGTTTTTCTGTTAAATATACATGTATATATGTCTACAGCTACATCCACATGTCAGGTATAAATAAAAATACGAAGTAGTCAGAGTAGTAGTAAGAGCATCACTAAGAAATTTTCCTGTGTCTATTCTTTTGTCATAAGAAGAAACAGGGTGAAAAAAAAAATTTTTTTTGTAAAACACTTCATTTTCTGTAATGTAAAGTGACTAATCAAAAAAGTTTATAAGTAGATCAAATTATGTTATTGTTATGAAAGATACACATACTCATATTTTACATAGTTGCTAATAATCGTAATGTTTGGATGAGTTAAAACGGATTTATTTGGACTGGTCTTCTCAAATCCACATTATACTCAGACCATTTCAACTTTTGTACTTTCTACCTTTCTTCAGATATCTATTGGATTTGGTAACATTCTTGGAATATCGAAAAAAAGCCATTTTTTTATTTAATCCATGTTGGTAAACTTTTCTCTTACTGTTTTTCACACAGAAGAGAGAAATGATTTTGCACCTGTTTTCTGTTTTAACACTCATTATATTTAACCTTTAAAAATCAGGATAAAATATTCTTGATTGTTCAATGAAATTGTTATTTCAGTATGAATTTGACCACGAATTTTGGACAACATGTAAAAAAAATTCAATGAAATATTCATCTTTTCCTCACTTTTTTTTTTATTCTTTATTTTTATAAAACAAGAAAGATTAAAAATAACCTTACATTCGTTATTTAACTATTTTATGACTGCTTTAATCTGAAAACTTCTTGATTCTTTCAGAAATAAATTTTTAAACAGATTACCTAAAGAGAATAATTCATAATTTAGTGTCTGGGCCAGGGGACTGAAATCTGAACTGACACAGCTGATTTACCTCCTCTGAGTACTTTTCCAAATTTAACCTCTAGTGAATTGAAATGGTTTCTTTAAAAATTTACCATAAATTGATTTTTTTTTGTCATGATATCATTTTATATTGTTTTAGATTTAGGATAAACTTTTTTGAAGCCATTGAGGCAATATATAAGTCATAAACTTAATCTTTTAATTTAATTTTTATTTTTATTTGTTGTTCAAACAATGAAATTGAATCAACTGCTTTGCAAGATATTTCACAATATTCTTTGCTCCGTTATTTAAAAATTAGTAGAGAAATGTTTATCTATATTTATATCTAAACTTTTCCTGTTTGGGTTTAAAAGATAGTGACTGCCTGATATGAAGTTAGTATTGTCTGAATAAAATATGAATTTTGGGATTCAAAATAATTATTCACTGTATTATTTCAGTAATATATAACACAATTTGAAAAGAAAAAATTCTATTATTTTTCTTTAGTATATCAGTTAGCAGATGATTTTTTTTTTTTTTCAATTGATGAATCTGCATGTAAAAAAATCTAACTGAATAATTTTATCCAAGAAATGTCCTTCACTTACAAGCTGTCCCTCTGTACAATATATTAGTATACAAAGCCAGTTATCTTTGTGATTTTAAATTATACTGATGCTTAATAGTTTTTATATATATATATATATATTTTTATGACGTGCTGGAAAGTTCTTGACCCAACTAAAAAGGGATTCAAAATAAAATTCTGATATTTGGTCAGGTTTTGGACATAATTTTTCAGTACTCTTTAGTATGTATTTTTACACTATAAGTGCCTCAAAGAATTATTACAGAATAATGGTATATATTTTTAGAAATTCATTAGTTTTTATAAAGGCAAATTTCATTAAATGAAAAACTTTTAAGCAGCAGATGCTCCTTTTCTTGATGCTGCATTGGCATGGGAAGTGAAATTCATAATCACCATTCTCTCCTGTAATGACATATACCTAATACATTGAGGAAATTGCTATGTGAACATCATCACTAAAGCCAACCATGTGTCTTACATGCATAGATGACTCATTCATACAGAAGATCTACCAGTAATATGCACAAGGACTGCTGGAGCATATGACCTTCAGTACAGTCCACAACAGAAAAGGAAATTGGTCAACTGACCTTCCTGAATATGCTAATAAATCATACAGAGTATGGGTTAAAGACATCCATATAGTATAACCCAAACATTCTCTAGACAGTACCTGAACTTCTTTTCCTAACTTCCATACAGCATCAAGAAGGGGATCATTCACTCTCTACGACATTGGACTAAACTTACAAGTGGCAACACAGACACATACCAACAGTAGATGATCAATATCAAAAACTCTCTTCAAGGTAACATCAGCTTCTACAAGCAGGGACAAAAAAGAAAGGACAACAATAAAAAAAAAATCTGTTACAGTCTGCCTACCATAAATAAGAGGTACAACTGAAAAGATTTAGATGATCTGTGATCTATAAAACATCAGGATGGTATTCACAAATATTTCAGTCATCTTGGAGGAGAACATAATACAAATTCTACTCATTGAAGTTGTGGCAAAAATACAAGGGTGAGACCAGTAAAGATGGAGGAAAATTGAAAGGCCATAGTCTCAAGAAAGATATTGAAATCAGGCATGACTGATCATGTACAAAAGAAAAGGTATGGCTATCAATTCCTGTGGATTTATGATTATAGACAGAACAACACTGGAGAATAAAACAACTAAAAGTATTAGTACATATATTAGACTAACAACTTCATCAGTAGACTTAGCATAGAGATAAATATCATTTGGGGGAGCCTCTATGAAAGAAAAGAACAGTCAAAAGTCCCATTAAATTTAAGTTTTTT